CTTTTTTAGAAATAATTATTTTTCTTCCGAAATTAGGCGCGAAGTTAAAAATCACTATCGCAGAAATGCACATTATAGCACTGTGTATTATATAAAAAATCATGTATCTTATTCCTTTTGAATTGTGGCATACAGAAAAAATTTCGTCGAGAACTAAATGTAGCTTTAGAACTGTTAAAACACATTTAATATTATAGCTTAATTATCTTGGCCTTCTGTGCAAAAAAAATGCATTGGTTGTGTCATGCCGTCTTGGGGGACTAAAACAAAAAAAATTATATATTTTTAAGACTTATGGATTCCGAGATATTGCAGGTGACGAAATTTCCCCTGTGACGAAATTACCCCACTCTCCCCTACTCTAACAGCACCTTGCTGGATTTTGACATTATTGCTATAACTGAAACCTGGCTCAACTCAACTGTTTATGATCAAGAAATATTCGTCAACAAATTTTCTATTTACAGATTAGACCGGCCAACTCGTGGTGGTGGCGTTCTAATTGCGGTACTAACCTCTCATTCTTCTGAACGTTTTCCTTATGATAATATTCACAGTATTGAATTTATAGCAGTTAAAATTACTACCGATAAATGTAATGTATTTCTTACTTGGCTCTGATCCTGCTATTTATTTTCATCACCTTTCAGCTATTTCTGTCGTTTCTTTATCTGTTGGTGACGCCGATCAACTTATTGTCTTGGGTGATTTTAACTTACTTCATTTTTCATGGCTTTCTAACTCAGACTCTAATATTCTATTCCCTGAAAATTAACATGAATTTGTAGATGGGTTAACTAAATTGTCACTTGGACAAGTTAATTCCATAAAAAACTCTAGAGAAAGGATCCTTGACCTAATTTTTGTTAGTGATGTGTCTGTGGTAACCGTTGCCAGATGCGATCCTGTGTCCACACCGGAAGATTTGTACCATCCTGCTCTTTGTCTAAACGTTGATATACATTTTGAAACCACGAATCAGTCTGCCCCACAACGCGTTAAGTGTTTTAGGAAAACCGACTATATGGGATAAAAATTCCACTTGGACCGTCTAAACTGGTCGACCTTATATTCTTTCACTGACCTTAATAGCGCAGTTCTTTGGTTTAATGAATCGGTTTGCTCTGCCTTAGATACCTTTGTCCCTGAAATTTCCGTTGCAAACTCATTAAAGCCTCCTTGGTTCTCCAGGAATCTGTCACAAAATCGCGTCTTTTTAAAAAATATAAGTAATCTGGGTCCCCCTCAGATTTTTCCCAATATGTTATTGCCCGATCTAATTTCGTAATATCTAATAATCAATGTTATGATGAGTATATTGCTGAATGTAGACAAAATATTAGATCTGACCCTAAAAAATTCTATTCCTTTGTAAATTCTAACAGAAAATCTAATGTTTTTCTGCCATGTCTCCATTTGGGTAATATTTCAGAATCTTCCGATATTAACATTTCTAACCTCTTTGCAACTTTCTTTCAATCTACATACTCTTCTCTCTCCTGTAACACATCGACTAGTTATACATACGCTTTGCCTCACATTAATAATATCCACATCGCACCTTTTACAATCAGTGCCGTTCTAAATAGCATGTTGACTATTGACGAGTCTTTCTTTGCTGGTCCTGATAAAATTCCGAGTTGCATAATTAAACAGTGTGCTGCATCTCTTTGCGGCCCGATCACTTTCCTATTTAACCTCTCACTGCAACTGTCACTTTTTCCAAGTATTTGGAAGACATATTTTTTAATCCCGCTTCACAAGAAAGGCTCTAGAACTGACGTTGGTAATTACCGAGGTATTGCCAAGCTGTCTGCCATCCCTAAGCTTTTCGAACGTCTAGTAACCTGTCAGATTCAGCATATGTGTAGTTCAGTTCAGAAACGTTATACTTCTACGAATCTTCTCGAATTTTCGTCCTTAATTCATTGAAGTTTTCTCCAGAAGAAACAAACAGATTACATATTCACCGATTTCAGCAAGGCGTTCGACTCGGTTAACCACTCTTTACTTCTTCATAAATTATCTCTGATTGGATTTCCTCCCTACTTACTTGATTGGATTTCGTCATACTTGTCGAACAGATCTCAACGTGTATTGTTTAAAAATGAAGTATCTTCTTTGGTACCACAGGTAGTCACTTGGGACCATTACTATTCATTTTCTTTATTAATGACCTCCCACAGGTAATGTCCCACTGCACCACTTTTGTGTATGCGGATGACGTGAAAATCTGTATATCGTTTTCTAATTTAAGTTCACATCTTCTTATTCAGTCTGACCTCAACAATTTCCAGGCTTGGGCCTCAACAAACTTGCTATCACTGAATTATTCAAAATGTAAAACAATGTCGTTCTCCCGCACTACTGCCCACACAACCTCGTACACCCTTGGAAAATCCTTATTGGAGCGTGTGGAGAAAATTAATGATCTTGGTGTGTTGTTTGATCAAAAACTTTGTTTTAATAGCCATATCTCAGTTATAGTCACTAAAGCTAACGGCGTTTTAGCCCTTATTAAGCGTTGGGCAAAAGAGTTTAATGATCCGTATACAACTAAATCGCTATACGTAAGCCTAGTTCGCCCAATTATGGAGTACTGTTCTGAGGTATGGAGTCCACAATATGTATACCAACAGAATTTAATAGAATCGGTTCAAAAACAATTCTTAATATTAGCTTTGCGTAACCCTAATTGCGATCCTGATCGACATTTACCACCTTTACCACCAAGACTGATTGACCTAAACAGTTTAAAACACCGCAGATTTTGTAACGGTGTAATATTTATACATAAACTGCTGAGCGGTGCGGTGTATTCTCCAACTTTGCTGAGAGATATCAATATTGCAGTCCCCTCAAGATACACTCGTGCCTCCCGTCCACCAATTATGAGATCTAATTTTTCCCTTCATGAACCATTCCGTGTTTTATGTACTAATTATAATTTAGCCTATCAATGTATATCCTTTGAGTCTTCTATTGATTTTATATCCCTCCAAATTTACTGTTATTTCTATTCACTAAACGTATAAATGTATAAATTGTTAAGTTGTTAAGTTAGCTGTCCATAGTTAACTATAAGCCAAATAAATAAAATACTTACATAAGACATTTTGTAACCGATTTTTGTGAACTAAAATTCAAATCGCATTGATAATATTAAAAGAACATTTAATATTCAAACCTTCTCTTGCTCTTTATTACACGTGCCTCATATTGTTTAAACAAATTCAAATGTTTAAACAAATTGATTCACGGCTTCCCCGCGCACCTGCCTTTCTTATCTCTAATCCAATAGAATTAAAGGGATAAAATTTGGTCAGTACCAAATTCCACCCAGAACGGATTGACCTAAAAATCTAGAAAAATCAAATTAATTCGGAAATAATTAAGCGCAGAGTGTGACATAGAGATTAAAACAAAAAACGACCCCAAGGTGCCCCAAAAATCGATTAGTTTTTTTTTTAATTTTTTCTTTTGCTATTTCTCTGTTATAAATGTTGTTAAAATGGTTTAAAAATGTGATGTTCATAATCTTATGACATACCCGCAAATAACTGCATTTACATTTTTTGGAGATTCAGCATCCTTAATCAAGTCCCCAATATTTTCTTTAGTTGCGGCAGATTACTCGTAAACCAGCGGATCAAAATATTTGAAAATTGGAATTCTTATCCATTAGGTTCCTATCTACCAATCCTCATCTAAAATTTTGCAATATCGCCTGGGGCAGTTTTCCCAGGCTTGTTCCCCTATGCCCTTTGGCTAAACTGATGTGACGTCACGGCCTCCCCATATGTTTGTATGTATGTTCTGCTGGCGTATATATGTATGTATGTATGTCCCGTTGTCGCACTTTAAGTGTGACCGCGCAAGGGGAAAATGAAAATACCACAGCCAACAGTTTTAAAACGAAACTACCACACTCATAATACGTTTAAAATTCGCGGTTAAAAAATCGATTATATCGCAAATCTTTTCTTTTGCGCCTTTTTCTTAAGTAAACGTTAAATTTTAAAATATCGGTAGACCTTGCAGAAATCCCATTAAGCTGAATTTTACAGTCGAAATTTTCCTTAAAATTGCTTTTGTTTTTTTAAATGCAAAAGCCCTATCAGCAAACTATTTATTAGTTTTCAAATGTTGAGTTATCGACAAACTTTGGATCTGTAAAAAACAAAAACAAACAATGATTTGCTCTGCTATGTACACACACACACGCACAAAATAAATATATCCAAAAAATGCGTATTTTACACACACAGCCTTTAGATACATATATGCGTGTGTTTTTATACCCTTGTAGAGGGTATTATAATTTCAGTCAGATGTTTGCAACGCAGTGAAGGAGACGTTTCCGACCACATAAAGTATATATATTCTTGATCAGCACCAATAGCCGAGTCCATCTAGCCATGTCCGTCTGTCCGTCTGTCCGTTTCTATGCGAACTAGTCTCTCAGTTTTAAAGCTATTGCGATGAAACTTTCCCAAAAGTCTTCTTTCTATTGCAGGTAGTACATATGTCGGAGCGAGCCGGATCGGACCACTATATCTTAAGGCTCCCATAGGAATATTCAAACAAATATAAGAAATTTTGTTGTAACTTTGTAGGAAGTAGGCGTTTTGATTCTTGACTACTTAAAAACAAAATTTAAATAAATAGAAACGCTGAATCTGGAATCCCTGGAACTGCACCGAGTAAGCATTCTTTAATCTACACGGGTATATAAGCTTCGGCTGGCCGAAGGTAGCTTCCCTTCTTGTTTTTTTTGTATTCCTTTATTTCCTTACTACTAAAAAAAATATATACATATAGATGGACATAAACTGAAGAAGTTGTGGGGTACGGCCGCAAAGCATTGCTTCGCACAACCGCGGCAGCTTACGTGGCCAGTTCTCTCCTCTCTCTCTCAGCTTTTCTGAGTTTCTGCATCAGAGACGCAGCGAAATTGGCCGTCGCGTCCCACTCCAGTTGGCCTTTGAGCATTGTTGGCACTAGCGTGCTGGGGCTAATGCTGACACCAGTCGCCGTTTCCAAGGCGGTCCTGTCCTCTTCAAACCGAACGCACTCGAATCGGACATGGCTCGCGTCCTCCTCGATTCCAGAACCGCAGGTTGGGCATCCGTTCCTTGTGTCGGTAGGTAGAAATCCACCTGCCCATGCTTCCTTTCCAGCCATGGACTCAAGACTGGAATGAGAGCATGGGTCCAGCGCCCAGAGGTCGCGGAGTCCCATCTCTCCTGCCACTGAGAAATTGATCTCCTTCTCGCGGTCTGTCGCGCCTCACGTCTAGATAGGTCGTCCGTGCTCGTAGCCGCTTCCTCTACTTCTGCTGCCTCTCTTACCAGCTCGTTTATCGAAACTAGACCAGCGATGACCAGCACCGCTTCCTCAGAAATCGTCCGGAAGGCGCAGGATATCCTGATGGCATATAGTCTGTGGGTGCGTTCCCAGCCACTAATGTACGATGGCGTCGTGGCGGCTTTAGCCCATACCGGGGCGGCATATAGGACTTGGGACGTAACGACGCTCGCTAAGAGTTTCCTCCATTCCTGCTTTGGGCCCCTCGTGTTAAGTAGAATCCGCGAGAGCGAACTGGCGGTCGCTGCGGCCTTCTTGTTGGCATACTCCAGGTGCTCTTTAAAAGACAGCCTGGTGTCGATCATGACGCCTAGATATTTTACAGCTTTTTGCGAAACTACGTCAACCCCGCCAACCGTCAGTTTGGCTGTCTCGACGCATTGCCGGCTGCTTATAAGGACAGCCTCTGTCTTGTGTCCCGCGAGTTGGAGCCCGGCAAGTGACAGCCATGACTCAACCTTCCTTACCGCTGAGTTGGCCAAGCCCTCCACTTCGGCTGGCTTCTTCGCCGAATCCAGTCACATGGACGTTGGCAGGCATGGGAAGCCTCAGCACTCCGTCGTACATTATGTTCCACAGCAAGGGGCCAGGACCGATCCTTGTGGCACCCCAGCAGTAACATTGTACTCTTTTGGGCCATCGCTCGTATCGAACAGCAGCACCCTTTCGTCAAGGTAGCTGTCGATTATCTTGATGAGGTACTCCGGGATCTGTTGCCGCCTTAGGGCCTGCATAATCCCTGTCCAGTTCGCAGTGTCTAAGGCATTCTTGATGTCGAGCGCGACCAGCAGACAGTATTTTTTCGTGCCGCCTTTCCATCGCTTCCCGCGTATGGCTTCCGCTGCTATCCCGGTGACCGTTCGGATCGCGTCTAATGTAGACTTCCCTTTCCGGAACCCAAACTGGGAGGGGGAGAGGCCACCAGCTGCATCTATGGCCAGATTTAGCCGCTTCGAGATAAGCTTCTCGAACACTTTGCCAACTGTGTCGAGCAGACAAATCGGCCTGTAGGAGGAAGCTTCACCAGGCGGCTTCCCAGGTTTGTTCAGGAGCAACGGCTTCTGGACTTTCCATCTCCGGGGAAATGTTCCCTCGCGCAGGCAGGCGTTGTAGGGCACTGCGTCGGGTCTTGGGGCTTTATTGTTCTGCAGGTTGCGTCCTGCTTCAGCAACCTCGGTCTCCGTTATTGCCCTGATCTCCCACTTAGGCCCCGTTTCATGCAGTGTGCTGTCCTTGGCGCTACCCGAAGGGAACAATGTGCGAACGATCTCACTTAGGGTTTCAGGGTCCGTTGGAGAGCGGCTGCCTGCATTTACTCGCTTGACCACGAGTCTGTAGGCTCCACCCCACGGATCCTGTTCGGCTGCGTCGCATAGCTTCAGGAAACATTCCCGTTTACTGTCCTAAATGGCGTGCTTCAAGGACCTCCTGGCTTGCCTGAAGGCGGCGTGTGCAGCCTCGGCCCTGTCCGTCCTTCTTGAGCGCTGAAGAGCTCTTCTGGCACTGAGGCAAGTCCTTCTAAGGATCGCTATTTCGGAGTTCCACCAATGTACAGGCTCATGGTCTCTCCTAAACGGTTTGCGCTGCAGCATACCTGCCCTGCACGCATCCTCCAGGCTGGCTGCTATCCCGTCAGCATTGGTGTTAACGTCTGCTTCCGTGACGAAATGCATGTCCGCCAGGCACCTGCTCATCTGTTCGGCGTTCAGCGTCTCCTGGCGGTAGCCCTTGGCTGCCCGGTTCAGGGGTCCTGGTCCCGGGCGTATGCCCACTGTGCATAGTATGGCCTCGTGGTCGCTGGCCGTGCAGAAGTCGCCGATTCTCCAGTGAGAACGTCGGGCTAGCGGGGAGCTCACAAAGGTGAGGTCTATGATAGACCCAGCTCCAGCCCGATTAAAAGTCTCCTGCGTCCCTTCATTAAGCAGCACAACGTCCAGCGTTGCAAAGGCTCTGAGTAAGTCTCGCCCCCTTATGTTGGTGCTGGGGCACCCCCATTCTTCTGCCCACGAGTTGAAGTCGCCTGCGATGATGGTAGGGTGGCGTCGCCTTGCATCGAAGGCGATCGTGTCCAGTGCACTTCTAAAGTCCACCTTGGAGAGACTAGGTGCTAGATAGCAGCTGTAGACCCACATTTCGCCTATTCGAGCTCGGACGAAACCCGATCCCTTACGCACGTCCAGGAATGATCTGCCGTTTCTCCTGCACAGCCATATCGCGACCTTGCTTGATGTGTTCGTTACCCAGTCGCCGTTGTCCTCGACTTTGTAAGGTTCGCTGATGATAGCCAGATCCGCCTTACATTCCCTCACTGACTGCAGGAGTAGGTCCTGCGCAGCCCGGCAGTGATTCAGGTTTATCTGAATCACTTTCATTCTCGAGGTTTGGCTACGGCTCTTTTTGCGGCGTAAGGACACCGCCTGCTTCCTGCTTGGTGGTATGCGTGTGTACGTTTGTGTGTGTGCATTGCAGCTGACTAAGGAATTGAGATTCGATCAAATTCAAATTCAAGACAATATTTCATTTACATTTCCACAACATACTTACATAAGACATTTTGTAACCGATTTTTGTGAACTAAAATTCAAATCGCATTGATAATATTAAAAGAACATTAAATATTCAAACCAATTGATTCTCTTGCTCTTTATTACGCATGCTCATATTGTTTAAACAAATTCAAATGTTTAAACAATTTGATTCACGGCTTCCCCGCCCACCTGCCTTCCTTATCTAAATCAATATTTGTCTTGATTAAAAAACGGTCAGTAGCAAATTCCACCCAGAACGGATTGACCTAAAAATCTAGAAAAATCACAGTAATTACTAAAATAATTAGGACCCGCGTAAGGGGTACTTTTTTACATGTATGTCTTCTTCTTCTTCACAGCCAGCGTTTTACCTGGCAAAAATAGGACATTTTTTCACGACAGTGATGCCAACTTTTTGCAAAGGCGGCCTGTTTTTATTAATTTCTCAAGAACTACAACTTCTTTTACCATAAAATTTTTACCAGAAATAAGTTTCATTTTTAACTACAATACTTAGTACCTTTGAATAAATAATTCGTTAACAAAACATTTCGATAACTAACTCCGAAATTTTGACAAATTTGGTATTTTAAAGTTCTAGCTAATTGGTAACACTGCCAGGTAGACGGTTTGCCGACGGATTTTTTTAGCTAATTTTTTCGAGAGGTTTAGGAATATAACCCGAAGTAGGTATAAAAATCGTAGTATGCAGGTAGTTCATAAAATTCATTAGAGTTGTCTTAAATAAAGTTATATTTTTGGGAAACATTTGTAAGTTGGGTAATTTTATCAAAACGTCCGGCAAAATACGGGGGATTTAGAAACCGTCAAAAATGACGTCTTTGACACCGAGATTTGCTATTCGGGAAAAAGTCGGTTGGAATGGATTTCTGTGACACCCCCGATTGACTACTTTACCAAATGTATTTACCAGTGTTTAAAATTCTGCAGTCGAAGTAGCAAAAGTCACATAATTTTTCATTTTTCTAGCTTTGACTGCCTGTAACTTTTTAATATGTGCTGTTGCTTTTGCTGCTGCCTTTTTCTTTTTCCTTTTTTCGCGGAACATGAACACGATACATCACTATGGACGGCAGTCCATGTAGTGACGAAGCGCACCAGGAGAGTGTGCGAAGGCGACTACTATTATATAGCCGCAAAATTGAAAATCTGCTGTGATAGTCCGATCGTAATGAGTAATACACCAATCGAAAGGTATTGCAAAAACTTAAAGGATTGCATACCAAGACTTTAAGAAAATCAATTGGCTTGGGAGAGAGAGAATTGGAATTTGGAATTTGGAATTTTGGAGCTGATGGGGCCGGTGGGGATAAATGCCCCCTCGCAATGTTCAAAAGTTATAGCCAAAATAAGATTTTCTTCTTCTTCCCAAAATGAAAATTTAATTCTGTTTGTCAGTTTGTCAGTTTGTCCAAAACATGTTTTTTAAGTTTTGAAAATTTGATATGATGTTCATCACATCGATATAAAAAACTTTTGTTCTACCACTTTTGGAAAAACTCGCTAGTTTAGCGGGAAAACAGCTATAAATAGCTAAAATTCGGAAAGCCGTAACTTCTATACTACTAAAGCTACAGACTTGTGATGCATCTCGTTTGAAAGGTATTTTTAAATGCTATGAACGCCTTCTATATGCAATTTGTGTAAATGTAATAGTTAAAAAGATATGAACAAAAGAAAATTTGTTTAAACTTTTTTAGCTTTTTTTTAATTTTCTCAAAAACGGCTCTAACGATTTTCCATACAACTTTAAACTGTATAGCCCTTGAGATTCCTTAAATTTTGGTATATATCATGTTTATGTAAAAAATCGCGTTTAAAAGTTATTCAGAAACGAAAATAGCCATTTTTGCCAGCTCAGAACAACTAACGCTTCCTGAGTGTTTAATTTTGTGCGTGGGTATCCAAACTGAATTTTAGGCTCATAGAATCATTTCAATTGTTTTAAGGAGTTCCAAATAGGAAACTTTTGTTTTACGACTTTTGGAAAATCCCGCTGCTTTAGCGGAAAAAAAGCTAGAGATAGCTAAATTTCGTTAGTTTGTAAGTTCTACACTACTGAAGCTACAGACATGTGCTATACCTAGTTTAAAAGGTATTTTGAAATACTTAAACGCCTTTTTAACTTAATTTGTTTAAATACAATGGTTTACAAATTATGATTGACCAATTTACATTTAAATGTATATACTAGCTCCTATGAGAGCAAATATAAACAAACAAAAACTTCTGACATCAAATAAAAACACCTCTTAACGAGGTAAAAAACTAGTGACGATCGCACCTTCAACATACAAAAGTTCTGATATCAACATTTGTGACGAAAAATTATTACACTCGTCATTAAATAGACTTTCTAATATTTTCTCATTCTCATTTTCTCTCAAAAACCGAAAATTTTACGATTTTTACCGTTATTGTTCAAGATTCCGTTATTTGCGCCAACTTTGACTATTTTTCCCGTAATCAGGACACTTCTTTTTTTTTTTTTGAAAATGTTGAATTTTGGTTATTTGCTCATGTTTTTAGCTGTAACTTAGAAGTTATAAGCTAAACAGCTGCAAATAAGGTTTTATATTAAAGATAATTTTATATTAAAAATAATATAAAATAAACAAAACAAGAAAGGAAGCTAGCTTCGGCCAGCCGAAGCTTATATACCCTTGCGGATAATTCCTATTAATTTACAAATCGCAAACATGTTAATTATACCCTTGAAGAGGGTATTATGATTTCAGTCAGAAGTTTGCAACGCAGTGAAGGAGACGTTTCCGACCCCATAAAGTATATATATTCTTGATCAGCATCACTAGACGAGTCGATCTAGCCATGTCCGCCTGTCCGTCCGTCTGTCCGTCTGTTCTGAAATATTTAAAAAATAATATTTCCAAGAGTAGAAGGTTTTATTTCAAAAAACACCGAAGCTAGAATTTTTTTAACGATTCCTTCCTATGGGAGCTATAAGATATAGTTATCCGATCCGGTTGGTTCCGACTTATATACTACCTGCAATAGAAAGAAGACTTTTGGGAAAGTTTCATCGCGATAGCTTCAAAACTGAGAGACTAGTTTGCGTAGAAACGGACGGACAGACGGACAGACGGACAGACGGACGGACAGACGGACATGGCTAGATCGACTCGTCTAGTGATGCTGATCAAGAATATATATACTTTATGGGGTCGGAAACGTCTCCTTCACTGCGTTGCAAACTTCTGACTGAAATCATAATACCCTCTGCAAGGGTATAAAAATTTGGTTTATATATTTAAGATTTTTTTTTATTAAATGGTAACAATTCAAACTTCAATAAGGGATTGTAAACTTATTTCAGCATAGGATTCTCTTACTTTTATACCAGTAGGATAGCATAACATTTTTGACTCCTTAACGAGATCATAACATGGATATAATTTTGGACAGACAATTTTTGTGGTATTGTACTGTTGCATTGATAATTTACTTTCTATCAGAAGGGCAAGTGCTTGATCTGCTGAAAGGTGTTTTGCAGTGCTATTAGAAGATAATTTAGCTTTCTTAATTATAGTCCCCGTGGACGGGGGAGCATTTGGTAATTCATTAATTAATTTAGCTGAATCCCGTTTTCCTTCTGCCCGCAAAGCCTGTTCTGCAGCTAATAGCAAATGATCCTCATCTATCGTAGGCAACTATTCTTGGATTTTCCTTTTTTGTGTTTTAGGAAAACACTCAGAAAAGACTTTTTGTGACCTCCCTCTTGTACTTGAGGTGGAAGCAATGACATCAATGCGACAGTCCTCGCCATTTAATGTGACCTGAAGGCCACTTGCATTATGAGCAAAAAACCTGGCTTTATCTCTCCTAGATTTCTCAAATCGGTTTTGAAACTCATAAGACAGTGTAATTTCAATTGGGAGTGATCAATGTCATTGCCAAACACCATTACTGCGTGCTTTACAAGAGCGTCTCGCGGAGTGGTTTTTATGTTTTTCGACCAAACCTCGAAAAATGCAGCACGGCTTATTTCACCTTTTTCTAAATAGGTCTTTGGGCCAGATCGTATTTTAGATTCTGAATCAGAATGAATGCATGCGAATTATGTATGTTCTGGTTGGATAGAATACGATAGAATAATATAAGATTATTCCTTACACGTGCCTCAGTGTGATCGCTATTCTCCCAAAAGTTTTTGACCGGCTTTTTACAGGTCCTAGGGTGACCAGTCGTGCAGGGTTGCCACTTTGGCAAGTACTGTGGCGCCAACTTTCGTTACACTACCCCCCTCTAAGACTCGAGTCTCCTGGCCGAGTTAGTCCTTGATACTTGACCAGGCGTTCTTTGTCGAACGCTTGCCGGGTAGACGGACTTCATAGACCAGATCGAAATGTCGTCGGATGACGAATTGTATATCACGACGCACAGTGGCGCCTTGGGCCAAAAAAACGTGCAATAAATCACTTTTTCGACTTTGTCCTAGTTGCGACCCATACAAATCGACAGGTAATTAATGTACTATTACAAATATGTAACTCTTTTTCAAATCAAAATATTGTTGTAAAAGATATTCCCCTTTAAAGTTGGACAATTTTTCAATTAAAAAAACACACCGTTTTTAGGTAATTCGCTTTGTTTCTTTTTTCCACTGATTGGTGTGTTAGTTAAGAGTAAAACAAGAAAGAACGCTATAGTCGAGTGCCTCGACTATTAGATACCCGTTACTCAGCTAAACAACTTAATAGAAATATGCCTTCTTATATGTTTTTCGCCGCTCGATTTTTACCCAGGGATCCCTTTCTAGAAGAGGCGTTCTAGAACTTTCAATTCTGCCTAGCACATCTTCCGTCTCTCTCTAGCGCAGGTGAATGCACTTGTGAAAAACGTATACGAGCAAAAAGAGACAAAATGCGCGCCCCATTTCAAGTAATTTAAAATTTGCATTAACATAATGTGAATTAGAGTGACCACAGAAAAAAAGGCAGATTTTTTCCAATGCCATTTCCTAGATGGCGCTAGTGTATAAATTATTGCGCCATCTACCGCCAGATATTGGTACTACTGGTCATGAAAGGCGGAAATGTAGGCGCTGGCCAGGTTTAAGCGATTATTGGGTTTGTGGGCGTTAGAGTGGGCGTGGCAATTTTTTACTTGGCCAATCGATAGGTATTGACGAAGCGAATACATATCAGTTACTATTTTCATAATAGCTTAAAACTGTTGCCGTAAAGGGGGCTTGTGGGCGTTAGAGGGGGCGTGGCACCTTTTTGAAACAAACTTGCGCTGCGTAGGAGCTCCTAGAATCTGCATGCAAAATGCCAATCTTCTAGCTTTTATAGTTTCGGAGATCTCAGCGTTCATACGGACAGACAGACAGACAGACAGACGGACAGACAGACGGACAGACGGACATGGCTAAATCGACTCGGCTAGTGATCCTGATCAAGAATATATATACTTTATGGGATCGGAAACGCTTCCTTCTAGCTGTTACATACTTTTGCACGAATACAATATACCCTTTTACTCTACGAGTAACGGGTATAAAAAGTAAAACATATTGCAGTTTGCCTGCAGCATCTCTTAGTTATGCGTTATTTGCGAAACGTCAATTTTTTTTTCATATTTTTCAACTTAGATGGAAAATAAAAAAAACTATTTAATGTAGCTGTAGTTGTAGCTGCGTCCGCTTGCGTCCGCGGTTTTAAGAGCCAAAAAAGGTAAAAAAGTCTTGGTCCCAGAAAGTGCATATGGCGCAACCTTGTGAAAGATTTGTCCAAAACATGGTTTTAAAGTCCTGAAACTTTGATATGATTTTCAACAGCTCGATATTAGAAACTTGGTAATACTCTAGTTTACGGTCCTCACCCCCAAAACTATTTTGTGTAAACATATATTTTACTGTGTGGTATTTCATTAATAGGGACATATTTCATACCCCTACAAAATCAGAAGTGGGCCGATCACGTGCCAAACAAATTAAAAACTACAAGTTTAAAAACTAAGAAAGTGAAACAATTTAATAAAACAAAATGGATTTGACCAAATTATCGATTAAACAATTAAAAATATGGTTAAGTGTATTAAAATGTTCAACGACTGGTACAAAACAGGAGTTGATTTTACGTTTAAACAAATTACCGAGCGAAAAACGCAATAAGTTTAACGAAATGAAGGAGAACCAAGACGGCGAAAGAAGTAAAGGAGAAGACGGAGGCAACGAGAAATTCCAAGAACGAGACGGCGATAGAAGTAACTGCAAAGACGGAGGCAACGAGAAATTCCAAGAACGAGACGGCGATAGAAGTAACTGCAAAGACGGCGGCATCGAGAATTTCGAGGAAGAAGATGGCGGCAAAAGTAACAACGAAGACGGTGCACAGTGGGGCAAAAACCCAAAAGTCTGCCTTAAATCAGCGGAGCCCTATAGCAAATATCTTTTGATGGGGCATTCTTAAAGGCAATTAAATATGTAAAAAAACATCATAAGGTGAATTTTTGTAGTAAAATTTTTTTGCTGTAGAAAATTTTGAGGAAAAAAAAAATGTTTTTTTAAGAAAAAAAATATAAATAAATTACTTATAGGGTTCTAAGTTTCCCAATATTTTTTTTAATTTAACTTGATTTTTGAAAAAAAAATTATTCAAATCGGTCAACTATATCTTATAGCTGCCATATAAACGCTTATTACAAAGGGGAATGTCTCATTTTTATTTCAATATTGGTTCATATAAATTGGGATTAAGTCATTATTTATCATTTTAGCTATATGCTTACTTTTTTTTTAATTGGTCAATGATATCTTATAGATGTCATAGAATCAATCAAGGAAATATAGCATATTTTCAAAAAAAAACTGGTAGAAACCGGTATTTACTTCATATATGTATTTTTAGTAAAATAACATAATTTAAAATTTTAAACCCAAATTTGTTTATTAATTTATCATTATCTTCATCAATACCTTCACATAAGTAAAATATCTTCATGATGTTAGGGCGCGCGTATGAACCAGGGCTGACGATATTTCAAATTATGAACATTTCTTGCTAACTTAAACTGCGGTTTTCTCAGAAGAGGCACAAAAGGGCAGGCTAATTTTTTCAGAATATGTAGATAAATATCTAAACTTTTTAAAAAAAAAAGAACTAAACGGGGATCTAGGGTGTAACACTACTTTACGTCCAAGGATATCCAAAAAATTCCTTTTTCTTGGACCACCTTTAAAAAATAAAAAAAATAGTAATTATGTATCTAAAATTATTATTTTTTTTTTTTAATATTCTAAGAATTGGTTGCTCTTAAAATTTCAATCGTTACTTATATAACTTAGGCCCTTGGGCGCTTTCAGAAAAATTTCAAAGATGTGTAAAAATACCTTTTTTTCTTATTGGCTAAAATTATATTTCGAAAAATCCACTTTATAAATCTGTAGTGGGAGAACTATTCGTCACAGATCACTCTTTCCTTTTGATTTGTATAGAGAATTTAATTGTTTTTAAAGTTGCATTGCATTTTGGAAAATCTTAAAAAAAAAAAACCATTTTGGCAGGCTTTTTGTTCTAGGCGCCCCACAGTGCGGCGGTAAAGAGGATTACGAAGTAGAAGAAGGCGACGAAATTAATAGCAAAGATGGAGAAGGCAAGAACAAAGTTGGCGAAAAGAACGACAATGGCAAAGACGGTGAAAAAGTTCGCGAATATATAAGCGAAGATGGAGAAAACGAAAGCGAGGCAGGCGAGTAAACAAGATGTGAAAGAAGCTACGAAAGAGACGGCGAACAGAACAAAGGTGGAGGCAGAAATCGAAACTGTGCAGAAGTGAACATGCAGAACCAAGCTAGAGAGAAAGAAAAGATGGAGAACAATTTTAATCAAAGTATAGACATTTGAGAATGGCTACGAAAGTGTTGTGTGAGTTTGCGGGCGAATCATGTGCTCGCAAATGGATCACTCAGATGTATAATATCGCAAGCATCTATGGTATAACTGGAAACTATATAAAAATGTTGATGGTTAGCAAAATTAAAGGCAAAGCTAATGTTTGGTTGCACGAAAATGGTGAACGATTTTTGTTGCCATTGGAGGAATTGACGGCTGAGCTCATCGTAATGTTTGGCGAAAAATCATCAAAGTTTGAGATAAGGCGCAAATTTGAGCATCGCAAAAGGAGTGCAGGCGAGACGTTCGGGAGTTATGTTGACGACAAGATAATGCGTGCTCAGGGCATTAATATTGATAGAGATGAAATGTTGAGCTGCATCATCGAAGGTATTACAAATCAAGGGCTGCGCAATCTGGCGCACATTCAATGCTTTGTGGATGTTGGGCACATAAAGCGAGCATTTGCGGATGTAAGACTGCCGAAATCTGTTGGAAAACCGATGACATCAATGGACTTCAAGGATAAGAAGGAGACACGATGTTTCAATTGCAATGCCAAAGGGCATTGGGCGAACGAGTGCAGGAAGTCAAAACGGGAGAAAGGATCGTGCTATGCGTGCGGCGAGATGGGACATTTTGTGGCGACGTGCTTGAAGAACAAAAATAAGAACGAAGTCAATAATAATTACACTAGTTTACAGCCGAAATGCTCCCCAGCAATTGATGGCAAATTCTGTTAGATTTGGACCCCTAGATCACGAAAATAGCACTAAATTTTTTTTCGATGGCACAGTTTTTTTTTAAAGATTTTTTAAAGTTTGAAATGTTAAATTTCGGACTTTTTTCGAATTTCTTCTTATATCTCGGCAGATATCCACTCGGTTGGGCCAGTTTTAGTTTTATTTTAAAGTCAATAGATCAGAGCTTAACTTTGCCATACAGATCAATACGATTGGATGAGTAATGGCAGCGCAGAAGCTCGACAAAGAGGAAAAATGTGTTTTTTGGTCGTCTGTAAGTCGGCTGTATATATCGTAAAAACTCGAAATAAATCCGTTGAAAAATCATAATGGGTACAAACTTAAAGTTTTCATCCTACCGAATAAAACAAGCTGGATATGGCCCAAATCCATGGAAAACTGGATTTATGGTGGATTTTTAAAGTTCGGATTTTTCCACTTTTTTCGGTTGACAAAGTCCAAATTTAAGATTTATCATAGGCGGCGACATGTAAACAAAAATAATTGGTGTTGGCAGCCGGGTCACTAAATAGCTAAATCAGATATTTAAAAGCTAGAAAATTATTAAAGTGAATGTAATTTTTTAATTAAGGTTACTTTTTTCATAAGAATGAACTATCCAAATGGATAGTACTTAGTTAAAAATACTCACAGTCATAACGCAAGCAATTTTATATTTTTAAAGAAATTTTCAGAAATTAAATTTATTTTATAATTTTCTAGCTTTTAAACTTAGCTATTTTTTGACCCGGCTGCCGTCACCACTCATTTTTGTTTACATGTCGCCGCCTATGATAAATCTTAAATTTGGACTTTGTCAACCGAAAAAAGTGGAAAACCGAACTTTAAAAATCCACCATAAATCCAGTTTTCCATGGATTTGGGCCATATCCGGCTTGTTTTATTCGGTAGGATGTAAACTTTAAGTTTGTACCCATTATGATTTTTCAACGGATTTATTTCGAGTTTTTACGATATATACAGCCGACTTACAGACGACCAAAAAACACATTTTTCCTCTTTGTCGAGCTTCTGCGCTGCCATTACTCATCCAATCGTATTGATCTGTATGGCAAAGTTAAGCTCTGATCTATTGACTTTAAAATAAAACTAAAACCGGCCCAACCGAGAGGATATCTGCCGAGATATAAGAAGAAATTCGAAAAAAGTCAGAAATTTAACATTTCGAACTTTAAAAAATCTTTAAAAAAAAACTGTGCCATCGAAAAAAAAATAAGTGCTATTTTTGTGATCTAGGGGTCCAGCACTAACAGAATTTGCCATCAATTGCTGGGGAGCACACCAAGAATATTATTTTGTAAACTAGTGTTATGTAAGATACTTTGAAATTAATTTTATGAACGATTTTAATACCAGGTTAACTACAGAATGTCTCATAGATACAGGGAGCTTGATTTCTTTTATTAAAATATCTAAAGTACCAGAAAATGTTTGCAAATTACCAGTTTTAAGTTTATATCATGGATTAAATAAGAGTTACTTAGAAACCTATGGCAAAATATTGTGTTATGTTATGAAGAATTTAAATAAAATTGATTTTCATTTAGTTATTGTGGCAAACAAATCTATGAGTCAGGATGTAGTCCTTGGAAGAGATTTTATGGAAGCATGTAATATTAATTTAAACCTCGACACTTTGAAAATGGTTACGGTTGAGAGCATTGAAAACCCTCCAAATGTTAGTGATATTGATAGAAATGTTAGGGAAGAAAAGCAGATTATTAGTGATATTGTTAGAAATGTAAGGGAAAAGCAGATTGTTAGTGATATTGTTAGTCATGAAAACCAGATAGTTAGCGATGTTAGTGATAAAAATAGCGACAATAGGCAGATGATTAGAAAAGTTTGTAGTAAAGTTATAGATAAAGAAATAGTTGGGGATAGCAATGAAATAGATCTAGTAACAAGGGAATTGTTTAATATTAATATTACAGATGGAAGTCCAGATTACAAAATTGGCAATGAAGTGAATTATAATGTTAGGCGTCATTTTATTAAAATGGTAGAAAGCTGTTATGTAAATAAACAAAGACCAAAGGAACCCGAAGTTAGATGTGAAATAAAATTAAGATTAGAGGATTCTAAACCTTTTAGTTGTTCGCCCAGACGTTTAGCTTATACAGAAAAAAAAAGTTACAGGTTATATTAGATGAATACTTAAACGAGGGAATTATAAGTACGCATCTCCAATAGTGTTAGTAAAAAAAAAACAGGCGCCTTACGACTATGTGTGGATTATCGAAAACTTAATAAGACAATGGTTAAAGATAACTATCCTTTACCTTTAATCGACGATTTGTTAGACACTTTAGTAAATAAAACAATATTATCGAAATTAGATTTAAAACATGGCTACTTTCATGTATTTGTGGATAAGGACTCAATAAAATATACTTCATTTATGACGCCATTAGGACAATTTGAATTTATGCGGATGCCAATGGGGCTTAAAAACGCTCTTGCGGTGTTTCAGAGATTTATTAATACAATTTTTTCAGATATGATAAGGGATGGTAAGGTAGTAATATATATGGACGATATTATGATCGCCAGTAAAGAGATACAGGAACATTTGAATGTTCTTAGGGAAGTTTTGGATCGTTTAGCAAGGAACAAACTAGAATTGAGAATGGACAAGTGTTAGTTTCTACAAGCAAGTGTGCAATATTTAGGATTTTTAATAACCAACAAAGGAATACAAGCTAATGACAAAGGAATAGAAGCTATTAGAGATTTCCCTGTCCCAGATAAAGTACATAGTGTTAGAAGCTTTTTAGGATTATGTTCGTATTTAAGGAGATTCATTAAGAATTTTTCGATGATTGCAAAGCCATTATATGACTTGTTAAAGAAAGATAAAGAGTTTGCGTTTGAAGAAAAGGAATTACAATGTTTTGAGATGCTTAAGAAAATGTTAGTGGAAGCGCCAGTGTTAGGATTATATTATTACAAAGACGAGATAGAATTGCATACAGATGCAAGTGCACAAGGTTTTGGGGCGGTATTACTACAAAGAAAAGAGGATAAAAAGTTGCACCCTATTTTTTATTTTTCAAAGGCCACAACAAAAGACGAGGCAAAATATGAACTTGAAACGTTAGCGATCATTTATGCTCTACGAAGATTTAGAATTTATGTGCAGGGTAGACGGTTTAGAATAGTTACTGATTGTAACTCACTGACGTTGACATTAAATAGGATTGAGTTAAACCCTCGAATTGCACGATGGGCATTAGAATTGCTTGAATATGACTTTGAGTTTGAGTAGAAACGAATAGTTTTGAAGACAATTTAATTATTTGTCAAGCGAAAGATGATAAGTTAAAAGATGTTAGAAAGAAGTTAGAAAAAGAGGAAGATAAAATGTTTGGGATGAGGAATGGAGTTATTTATAGAAAATCAAATGATGGGAAATTGTTATTCTGTGTGCCAGGAAAAATGGAGGACAAAATGTTATACAAATATCACAATGAATTAGGTCATTTAGGACGAGATAAGGCTATGGATGCTATTGGTAGGACGTATTGGTTTCCGAATATGAAAGAAAAAGTTGTTAGGCATATTGATAACTGTTTGAGATTCGCCAAAGTCAGGAAAAGGGGAAGGAATGTTGCACAGCATACCAAAAGGAAATGTGCCATTCGAAATTATACATATCGATCATTACGGACCGGTTGATAATGGAAGATCAAAGAAACATCTGTTTGTGGTGATAGACGGTTTTACTAAATATGTTAGGCTTTATGCAACAAAGACGACGAACACAAAAGAAGTTATTATAGCAATGAAAGATTATTTTAGGTCGTATAGCAGGCCAACATGTATCGTTTCGGACAGAGGAAGCAGTTTTACATCGGAAGAGTTTGGAAAATTTGTTGAAGAATATAATATTAAGCACGTAAAAATTGCGACTGGGTCACCTCAGGCCAATGGGCAGGTGGAAAGAATTAATCGAATAGTAGGGCCAATGCTAGCTAAATTAGCAGATGCAGAAAAAGGACTGCATTGGGATACAGTTGTTGAGGACGTTGAATTTTCATTGAACAATACAAAGCAAAGAAGCATTGCACAAATGCCGAGTAAAATGTTGTTTGGAATCGA